CCCTGTATTCCTTTTTTAATCATTGCCTTCTTTGTATGTATTGTTTTGTACAATATGGCAACACATGTTATGTGTCAGTTTGCAACCATGTGTTATTGTAAATATGCGTGAAATTCAATGTAATTTACAAGTCGATAAAAGTTTAATTAAAGTGATTTATATACAAGATAAACTAAAAGAAAAGTGTGTAAAGTATTAAGTACAGTGTTATGTGCATTTATATATATAAAAGTATGCACAAATGCCTTTTGTTAAGGAAACCAAGTGGAACGACTTAAGAAATTTTAACAACAAATAACTTATAAACAATGATATTATTTATATTTTTTAGCTATACATGTTTTAGAGGATAGCTCCCTTAACATCCTGACCAAGTTTCATTTGTTAATTCCACCTGGTTTTCTTAAAGCACAAGGTGCGGCTGACTACTAAAGCCCACCCAAAAAAAACAAAACATATTTGATGTAGAAAAGTTAAGAAGAAGATTGTTGAAAAATGCTTTTTGTTTGCCTATAAATATACAGTTTTTGCTGCGATAAAATCGCACAGATGTGTGCGTAATTGCGTTTTCGAAAGCTGAAATTAGTCAAGAACGCAGAACGTATACTTAAACATAGTCTTTATACGCAGAATTTTGTCGATAATTGGAGCCCTCAGTGTTGCTTACTGCAGTGCTGCCACTCAGCAATGCCTTTTTATAAACTTACCTTTTCAACTTCAATTTTTCGTGCTATAATAGATCGTAGCTAAATATAAACTACTTAGTTTTCAACAAAAAACCTTATTCAATAGTAAATTTCAATTATTTTCAACGTGTTTTGAATAGGAACTTATAACTTATTTACCACCTGCGAAACTGACGAAGTGGCAACCAACTATAGAAGGAAGAAATCAGCTGGCACGGAAAAATGTAAATTCNAAATCTAAATTCCGCAGATTTCTGCGCTACGGGCTACAACTACAGAAAAATTCTGGGGTGTTGAGTTTTCATTTACATGGCGATTTGCTAAGACAGATCGTGTCAGCTGACTCG